GAAAATAATAAGCAGTTGAAACCGTCATGATCGCACGCAATGAAATTGGGGCAAAAATAATATAAAACCCCCCCCCCCCCCCCCCCACACACACACACATTTTTTCTCCAAGACACCCACTGCGATAGACAATTGAAAAAGTAAATATTAATACCAGCTCTATTCGGACTCGAGTCTGATTAGATTTTTTATTGATTCGGACTCGATTCCGAATATGAGTTTTATCTATTCAGACTCGGGTATGAAAAAAATGTTTTATTTATCGGACTTGGCTTCTACGAGAGTTATGTAAGTGTAAGGAGGTTATATAATAAAACTTTAGTTTTAGTAAAAGTTTTACGGCACTTGCAACACAATAAGGTCATATAAGTGCCGAAGATTAGAGGTGTTACAAGGGAGTTACAAACACAAAAAAAGGAGGGGAGATAATTAGACGATAGATGTTTGATAGGAAAGAAGAAGCAAACCACACAAGAGCACCCGCCAACCACCCACCAATAAAACTGTCGTCGGCGGATTTTTACCTAAGGCCAGCTCTATTCGAACTTGAGTCTGCTTGAATTTTTTATCTCATCGGACTTGTGTCCGAATACAGGTTTTATCTATTTGGACTCTGGTCCGAATAAGTCTGGTCCGAATAAGATGTTTTATTTCCGGCAAGTAGCAATTACTCCGACCCCAGCAATTATTTCCGCCGAGTCGCGATACCTATGACTACTTCCGGCGAGTAACGATTAGTCCGATCCCTGCAATTACTTCCGCCGAGTAGCGACACCCATGACTACTTCCGGCGAGTAACGAGTTGTCCGATCCCTTTGATTACTTGGGGTGGGATGGCACTACCCCAGGCACTACCCCACCCAATCTCTACAGTATGAAGTCAGAGACCAACACTGACCTACACCGAGAAATGAGAGTCTATAATATAGAGCCTCGTGGGCAGACGTTACAGTTTTAGATTTTGAATTGAAAGAAGAGGGAATATTATTATAATTTAAAAACAACAACTGATGAATGAGTAAAAGGCGAAAGCAACGAATAAGTTTTGACACTGTATACTAGATCAATATAATCTTTGACAATGACTTTGCATCCCGACTACTTTTTCTTAAGTCTTCAAGATTCAGGAAAACCTCGATTTCAGAACATAGCAAAACACCAACATTTTTTTTTTTTTTAATACATTCTTTAAAGAAAAAATAAGATAAAAATAGAGTAATTGAGAATCGTTAGTTTTCGAAAAAGGGATCGGTTCTTT